AACAAATACTGACCCGTCCAGTTAGATTTATCCTGCAGTCGGAATAAAGTGGCTTTAGGGGTTTGGGGGGGGGGCGCTTAAAGCCTAGGGTTTCCACCCTACCTTTGTGATCCTGTGGAAATGATCCTGAGGCCTGGGACAGACAGTGAAAGGTCGATAAAGTGAGAACCTGGGTAAACTGTGAGTCTGGAAGCCACACAGGAGGGTGGACGAAACCCCAGTTCGGGGAGAAGTTTGAGCTGTGTTGTTACGTAGAATACCCAGGGAAACGTCAGCCAGCGCGTCCCTCAGCTAAAGCAGAAGCCCCCCGCGTGTGGCCGCTGGGGCGAGGAGGTGGGAGACGCAAAGATGCGCGAGGCCGGGCGCTGCTGGAGGCCCCGGGGTCGCTGATGATGTCTCCACGCTCAGAGGAACGTGGGCGTTAGTCCGGCAGCAGGACTAGCTCTGTCCTGCACCGTCAGGCAAGCACAGTTAGCAGGACCTTCTGGGAGGCAATTTGGAAAGATCTATAAAGTTTAAAAATGTGCAATCTTCAGCTCTACTTTTTGGTGTACCTATGTTGGAGAAGTACTTTCCCAAATGTCTTAAAGGCGTGCATTTTCAGAGATGTTTAATGCAGTATTATCTGTAGCAGTAAGAAAAAGGGAGGTGCTAAGGAATGTCAGAATGGCCGCGTAAATTGTGGTGCGTCCACAGCATGAACTGCGGGCAGCTACTGCATCGCCCTTTGGGAAACTGCCACCGTGGCTGTTCGACCTAAGGAATGACAGTTTTATGTATTGAGCAGAGAATGAGAGCTATCCCTGGGCTTCCATGTCCTCAGCTTTAAAACGATGAGATGATAATAGCATCTCGTAGTCTCAGGGCTAATCTGAGCATTTCGTGCAGTATCGCGTGGAAAGCCCTTGGGGCAGTGCCCACCCATGTCCAGAGCCCAGTAAATATTTGTTAATATCACTATGTACGTGTATTAACATGGAAAGATCCCAGATATACCATTTGGAGAAAACATATGTATGAATCCATTTGTTGGGGGAAACATACGTGTGTGTACATGTGTATGCGAGTGTGTGCACGTGTGTATACGTGTCCTGTGTGCAAACGCCTGGGAACAGGACTAGAAGGCTACCGTCCAAACTGCCCTGAGCGTTTGACCCTGGAGAAGGGCGTGGGGCCGGGACTGGAGGCGGCGGTGCCTCCTTGGGTTTAACCAGAGCAGCAGAGCGCTGGCGGGCGGCCCTGCGCCTGTCCACGGACGGTCCTTGCTCTTCCGCGGGAGCTCTGCGCCGTCTCCGAAGGGCCGTGGCCTCTGCAGCTCAGGCGGGGCTTGAAGTCCCGGGGCAGACGGGCAGGAAGGGGCGATGCGTGTAAAGTAGGGTGACCAGGTGGTCGGAGCCCCCAAGGGGACAGCCCGCAGCCCACGCCAGTTCCTCCTGTGTCTGGCGTGGACGGTGTGGCTGTGGAGCCGACACGCGCCCCTGGCCCAGGGGCAGGGAAGCCGGAGGGCCGAGGCGGGGCAGCTGCAGGCCCGGCTCCGAGGCACCAGGAGGCGGCAGGTCGGCAGCAGTGTGGGCGCCAGAGCAGCTGCTTCCCCGCCCCCGC